ATTGAACTACCTGACGATGCCTTAGATTCAACCGTGCAGGGCTTTTTTGCCTCTGGTTTTGGTGAATCATCACTTGAGCGCAGACGTTTGCTAACCTGCTCATGAAGGGTTTGTTCCTTCACCTGAGACAGATTCTGCGTACGCCGCTCAAGAATTTGGTGCAAAACGGTTTCATAAGGTACCCCGCTCTTGAGGAAACGACTCAGTCGTTTCCTGGCTGCACCACCAAACCATTTTTTTAGGTTCAGTTTTTGGATCAGGAGTTGGAGAGTTGAGAAGCTCTCGCTCATGATCTGAATTTACAGGGAGGTCAGTTGGAGTCGTAAGCTCGACATCTATCTCCTCTATAGACTCAGCGTTAGAAAGAATTTTCAAGTTCACTCTGTCCATAAAAGTTTCACGAGTAGCTAGGGAAAGTCAATCACGGCAGAGCCCCACATCACCGTGACAAGGCGATGCCACAACGAGAGGGCGCCCGGTATCTCGAAGGTTCCGCAGAGACAGCTGATAGGCTGGATACACACACCTTAGGATCAAGCCATCGTTGGGATGCCATTCAGTTAGGGAATAACAGAACCACGAATGGAAGCAGGCATCCGATGGCCGGTTTGCTCAACCCCCACATCCCAAGCCAATGCACTCGCCGAAAACAGCATGCACAGTGGTTCAGGCAGTGAAAAATGAACAAGGACAGTCAACCCGCCAGCCCTTGTATATACTCTCGGATAGTAATTTAGAGTTTTATCGAGCCCTACTTTATCTTTGAATGATAACATGTGAGTGCCTTCTCTGGTCAGAGCATGTTCAGCTACAGCTGATTCGTTGGTTTGTCCTAGTCGACAATTTCTCTTGTGTTCAGGGAGACGAGCACCTATACTTCTTTTCGTGGTTCCAATGTATACCGACTCGCAGCTACAAGGAATCCGGTATGTAATGTATTAAAACTATTCAGTACCTGTTGAACATTCTGTATCTACGCCTATGTTTAATTTATGATTTTTTTATAATCATTGAGGAATTTATATTTTTTGTTTTAGTTTTACTTTACTACCAGAGAATTTTCATTCCATAACGGGATTCAGTCTTATTGTAGATAGTGTGTAATATAGGGGTTTCACGTCGTGAAACCATTGTGGTCTATAACATTTTCAACATAGTAAGGAAAGCTTTTCCCTTGAGTAGACTAGCACCAACTCGTCACCATATTGCCTTCGATAATGTCTACCGAAAATCACGGTTAGAAAAAAAAACAGAAAATAGCTTTCACATAAGTCAGCATCACTAGAAAATGACTAGTTTCAGCAATAACCTTCTTATTCGAGCGAAATTTCTTACCGGTGAGCATTTTTTTGAGTACTGCAAATAGTCAGTAGTCGCTGGGAGCCATATCTGGTGAATACGGTGGATGTGGGAGCAATTCGAAGTTGAATTTATGTAGTTTTGCATGGTTTTGATTGGTTGGTGACATGGTGAGTAGTCTAGATTTTTTTTCTTTGACATGCGTTGGTTTATTTGCAATTTCGGCCTTCAAACGCTCCAATAACGCTATATCATATTCACTGTTGATGATATTTCCCTTCTCAAGATAGTCGAAGAATAGTACACCACGAACATCCTAAAATACCGAGCCCATAACCTCTCCAGCCGATTGTTGTGCTTTCGGGCGCTTTGGACGAGGTAACCAGTTGCTCTCCACTCAGATGACGATCGTTTTGATTCTGTGAAATAGTGGAGCTATTGTCTATTGTCCCAATATCGACGCATACATTCTGGTTTGTTATGTTCAAACATGGCCCAACACTGCTTAGAATCATCAAGACGCTCTTGTTTTTGGTCAACAATGAGTTCGTGTGGTACTCACTTCGAACAGAGCTTCCTCATAGTGAAATGCTCATGCAATATAAGGCCAACGCGTTCTTTTGATATCTTCACAATGTCAGCTTACTTACGCAACTCTACTTTTTAATCATTTAAAACGATTTTGAGGATTTTTTAAATGTTTTCTGGTGTTACCGCCTTATTTGGACGTCCACTGCGTTCTGCATCATCGGTGTCTCTACGACCACGTTTGAAGTCAGCAAATCAACGTTTGATTGTTGTTTCTGATAGAGCGGAGTCCTTATAACACTTTTCAAGCCATTGATTTGCTTGAACGGTATTTTATCCTATCAACAAGCGGGTAAAATCAAAACATGAAATTGTTTTTGATTCATTGTTCTGACAATAACAAAAGTAGTGTCACTCTTAGCACAATAACTCATATTATATCATGAAATTTGAACAGCTTACTGTTGGAGGTTAGTACTAACTGAAAAAGCGATGAATGCAATGAAACTAGCGACATTTAGGTGTTAGGCCCGAGACTTTTCAGCCCAGGTAGCATATGCATCTGGACGCATCATTACCTTACATTTAGGTTATGAAATGAGTATGATTGTTCTCAAAGTTTATAACTGCCTGTGTTGATACCTAATCGTTACCTGCATGCGTTAGAAATAAACAAGATTCCCAAACTCTCGAAGGTATCTAAAAACCTGTTGTAATGTACCGGTCTCATCAATTTTAACCATTCCTCAATTATTCTGTGGCAGTTTTTTAAGGCACATTAATCGACACTAAAATATTTGGGTTTATGGTTCTTGTAATGAGCTATTATGGTTCGCTTAGTCTGACCAACATGCCCTTAATCTCTTAGACTCTTGTTTCGAAGAAACTGAAAATAATAAAGAGCTCTTCTTTGCTGTCTGGTACGTCTTGTTCATTCCTTTATCAATTTTCCGTTAATCCGTAGGTTCCGACCAAGAAATAAATGAAAACCACACTTTTATTTTTCTTCCGAACGCCATCCTCTACTGTCTTCTATGTTTATCACGGAATTACCCTTTTAGATATCGACACCACCTTCTAACAGTAGTGGCTAGTCAGAAACACTTGGTTGCTTATCATCGGCGCCTCAGTAAAGACACAGTTCCGATCACTATCGATGGAATTAAGGCTTCAGGGTTCATTGATCCTAGAAGCACCTCTAGTGTCATCAACAATTCCATTGTTTCTCGTTATGACATGCCAAGAATACCTACTAATATGAATATCAATATGGCTTCATTGAACAATGTGTCGCAAGTCGAAGAAAGTTGTATAGTCTATATTGAAGTGTGAAACCATCTGTATAAACATTTCAACTATCATTTTGGATAATCTCTGTATAGATGTTATACTTTGTCATGATATTCTGGAAGATCATTCTGCAATTGCAGTTAATTTCGGTGGACCAAGGACTTCTCTCAAAATCTGCAGCTCAACACATGCGTTAGTCCCACCAGCTTGTCTTTTTAAAAATCTCTCCCGAGATTGCAGGCCCGTTGTTATAAAATCTCGCAGATATTCTCAGGGGAAAGAAAAATTCATTGAATCCGAAATTCAAAGACTTAGCCCGGAAGGAATTATTGAGAAAAGTAAATCCCCTTGGGTACAAGTTCTTGTTACAACGAATGCCAATCTCAAGAAGCGTATGCTAATCAATTATGCTCTGACTATAAATGGATTTACGGAACTAGTTGCATACTCACTTCCAAATATGAAAAATAGCATTTCTGAGGTTGCGAAATATAAAGTGTTCAGTACTGTTGATTAAATTGTTATTGGATATATTAAATTGGCTTCAATCAACAAAATACAACATGATATGATAATGTGACAGTTAATGACAACTATGATTTGTAGAATGAGTATAGATGCAGGATGGAACATTACATCTATGATATTTTACATAAACGAGTAAATCAATTCCATTTTTGAGTCCCCGAATTAGTTTAAAGAAGACATCGTTGGAAATATGTGTTATTTTATTATTAACCAGTTATCACGATGTGTGCACTATGGACTCTCAGTAATATCTAACTGAAATCATTTTCTTCCTAGCCACATATACACCCTAGTTCTGAATGAATGCGGAAAAATCCTAGGCAACACTTAGCACCGGCTGTCCAAAATAACCAAATTCCTGTCACATTTCAATGTCATCCATACAAACTGCAGAAAGATGGACACTGAAGAAACCACCGAAGAAAATAAACAGACCAATTCCACTTCACAAGTAAACAGTGCTCCATCAACTTCGAAACTTCATACCGTAACACCGGAAATACAGAGGACCGTAAACAGTTGTACCAAGAGATCGAACAGCTCCACTGAAAATAGATACAAATGTGCTATAACATCGGAGCGGCTGACTCAGCTCAGAAAACTCACGGAAACTGCTACAAGAGACCACAAAGTTTTCACAATCAAAGGTTGGTTGCAATTTTGTGCTAGTAATTATAGAGTAGCTTAATTTTTTCTCTGGGTTGACATTGTAGAAAATCTGTTTGCTACAGATTTGTATGATATTAGAAACGGCTTATTAGGAGTTAGAGGAATATTTACTTTTGACACTAGTGCTGGTTATTCGACTATACGCCAAGTATAGTGAGTTTTGCATTTGGATTCCTGAACTGTTTCATTTCTGAAATCGAGAAATGATACACTTGAAAAAATTGAAATTATTGTTAAGTTTTTCCCCGTGAGTTCACCAATAATTGATTACAATGAATAATTAAACTTAAATTTATTTCACTTTAAATACAAACACTTCAACTGAAAATTCAACTATTATTTGAATGTCTATCGCCTTGCTAGATCACTTCGCGTACCGCACTGTAGCTTCCACTTGACTGTGTCGATATGCTCGTTTAAATATCGTAATCGAATGCCGTAGAAATTTCGCCGAAGTTCTGTCGATGTCGGTAGCATTATTCTTGCTGCTTCTCGAGTGGCGGGGAATCATCGTACATTCGCGCGCTGTTAGCTACGTCACCATTGGTTTATGGCTACCAGTGGCGGCCGGCGTTATTTTCTTTCGAGCATGATTTACAACATTATCAAACGAATACATTCTACTTAGGTAATAGAAGTTATTATGGAACTGCGGATGACTCATCTGAGTAAATCCATGGAAGCTGCTACGAGAGATCACAAAGTTTTCACAATCAATTACAATTCTGAAAGTACTATTGATTATATCAGTATTAAACCAGAAAAATCTGTCTGGAATATTGTATTATCCAATGTAAATGAATAAACGAATGAAAATCAAGTTGCGAGTTCCGATTTTTATTTCGGCAAAGTCAACAGGTTTATATGAAATTTAAAAAAACACCGTAAATATCACAAATCTTTTCATTCCAGGTGGATGGCCGATAATTCGGAAGGAAATGCTGAAACGACAGTGGCTGGAAAAAGTCGATCCTCCCATGAAACAGAAAATAACATGCCTGGATGACGTCACCTGCAACTTACCCGTCAAGCAAGACTGGGAATCCCAGCAAACGTATGTTGAGAAGTGCGAGAAGACAATCTTATCCCGCATGCTCCAGAACCACGAGGTCGACTTCTACTGGAGCATGAGGAAGGAGCCGGGAGATTTGCAGCATAGAGCCAACACTTTTAAATTGATAAACAGGTTCAGCAGATCTTTGTTCGCTTCCAAAGAAGGATTGGCACTTCTACTGCAGCAATCCTATTGGTACACCGAAAGCGGTGTGGCTAGCGTTAACTATCCTAGGGTTTATGTATTAGGTAAGAATTGTATATATATTTTTTTGGTGGACAAATACACATTATTATTTTTTCAAGTCAACGGTCAATAAACTCGTGTTCTGGGTAGGTCATGTTGATAGCTCCTCGAGCTACCTAGGGAGCATTATGACTGCTCACCATTTAACGTTGCAGACTTCAACTAGATACATTCTCTCGAGAAAATTATCTTGTCGAGGTAGGGATCGATTCAAGCACACTACTAATGTTCCAATTCACCACTATATGTATTATTATTTTTTTGTATCTGAGTTTCCACTGATCAGGCCCCATACCCCGAAGCCCCGATACGTTCGGGAGGGCGCGTCAGCATTATCAACCAACGACCACTCCCCACACCGTGGGGTGAGTGATTACTGGGTTGGAGAATCATGCGCCCTGAGCAAGCGTAATGAGCCAAGAATGACAGCTTTCTGCATCTGTCCGGCTAAGATTTTTGCGGCAAGCGGGTATGATTTTAAAATTCAAGAGTAGAGAAAGCATCATTCCACGAAGGACTCAAATAATAATTATTACAATATTTTTTTACAGTAGTATGCGCTGGTCAGGCCCTATCCCCCGAAGCTCCGATACATTCGGGAGGGCGCGCCAGCAGTATCAACCAACGACCATTCTCCATACCGTGGGGTAAGTGATCATTGGGCCCGAGAATCATGCTCCCTGAGTAAGCGCAGTGAGCCAATAATGACAGCCTTCTTTGTTTTACACCTTCTGATCTCCTGGTCGCAAACTTCTCAGTTTGTGAAAGAAATGTCCTTCAGTATTATTTACATGTAAGATGTTCGTTTCTTTACATATTCATTTCAGAATCACAGTTTTGCCTGATTCTTTGTAGCTTCCTCTTCTTCGTTATTAAAAAATGTTAAGTGTCTAGGTTTCACTTTGTATCCGATGCCGCTGTATGTATCTTTATGAATGTTCCCGTTATGTCTTTGCACCCTTCCTGATTTGTTAATAGTAGTTGCTTTTCACGTCTTAGGTTACCAAACGCGAGAAGAATGTCTTTTAATAGATACTAAGAGTAGGCAGCTTCAGGTTCCAGTGTAGGTATATACAGTCGTAGATCTAGGACAGATATATCAGGTCAGTTAGGATCCAGTATAACTCCCAGATAACTAATATTCCTCGATAGATGAATTTCTTCAAATTAAAGTTCCAAAAGTTTCAATCCTTCATTCATCAGGTTTTCATGATGAATGGAGAACTGTAATACCTAGTAAAATCTATGTAGAATGATATACATTCTAACTTCGGGAAGAGACAGATTTCTTTAATATATGATTTTTTCAACTCCGGTTCTCTGTCTCATACAATGTAACATCATGGCAAGACCGAGAGAGTGTTTATATAAACAAAATTCGTCGGCGTGTTTTGGAAAGATGGAAAATCAGAGGAACGGTTTGAGAAACGGGCGGGACGAGGCACACGTGATTTCTTCCTGGCTTTTGAAAGGCAGAGAGGACTGACAGTTTGGGCATTCTTTGCATGAGGCAGAGGTCTCATTGTAGTGCGGAAAATTTTCTGGAAGTAAGTCTGCGCGAACTTTGAGGAGGATTCGAGAACTTAGAGTTGAATGGTTCTCTCAATGGTCGGTCAAGGGAGCAGGAAAAAGGCAGCGGTGAGTTAAATGTACATGTGTACTTACCATTTTATGATTTTAGGACCTGATAATTGCGTCATAGTTATTTAGCGGTTAGAAATCATCGGCCAAACTAGAGTATTTCTTCACTCTCGTATATTATAGTAATTTCCGGCGAAGGCACAAATATTGAGTTTTATTTTCGAGATTTTGTTATGTTTATTTTCTTAAATTTTTTGATGTTCTCCTTTGTCTATTTTGTTATATAATTTTTTCTTCATTTTTTTATTATTGTACATAGTATCTTTTGAAGGTTCTGAGCAGGCTTTTATTTCAAAATTTACCATAGTAACCTCTTGGAAGGAAGTGTCTGCGAATTCTCAAGATCTTTATCGCTGCAAATAAAGACCCCCTCTTCGTGCAAGAGGCCGAATTCAAGTCTCATTCGGAACTGCCTGACTGCGGACGGGAAGTCCGTATCTGGTGACAACAGCTGCCAAATTTTATTTAAATGAAGCTAACTCGAAAAAAAATAGCGAGAGGATTACCAAGGGTTAACAGACAGTTAATGACGTATTATTTCACTGGTGATTAAGCTATAAACCCGTAGATGTTACAGTTGTGACTAGGGGATATATAATAATAATAGTGAAACCGTTCAGGATTTACTACAGAACATTCACCAGGAAGACTTTCTGTTTAACAATTTCTGTCCAACCCATTTTGTTATAATGTTAAGGACTGAATTTTAACGAAGGTTTTTGAAGGAAACTGAGATATAAAAGAAGTTTTGTTGATTATTTGAATGACTTTTGACGTTTTCAAAGGTTTTCCGGATCACTACAACCTCTTCATCGACGATTTCCGACTGACAGCCTGCATCGGCCTGCTGAAGTGGTTCGCCCATAAGTACGAAACAGGGGACAAGCACGCCATTCAGTCCCCAGACGGAAGAGTATCAGAAACTGCCATTTTATTCGCCATCGACCGGTGTAACGATTACATCGCCAGCCAAAAGCATTTGGATATAGATAATGAATTTGCTCAAATATGGGACCACGAATGGGACCAGTTCTTCACACATTTCCATATCATTCTACACCAGGATGGTTTATTCGAAGACTTTTGTGAACCGTTACCAACAGTTTATGGTGAGTTAATACACAAAACAATGGTAAACAGTCATGGATAGAAGCGACCCTAGTGTTGATCCCTGGGGAACTCCGAAATACAAAATATCTCGATTTGATGATTTGCAGCTAACGTTAAATCAACTCTGAAAGAGATGCAGAAATATTGGCCACAATACGACATAGATGGAATGAGGAATATTTGGATACTGAAGCCGGGAAACAAATGCAGAGGTCGCGGAATACAGCTGGTTAAAGATATAACAGATGTCGATAAAGTAATGAGTCTCAAAATGAAGTACGTAGTCCAAAAATATATAGGTAAACTTTCAAGATATTCGTATTTCAAACTCATAAAAATTGTTAGTTATTTTCAGAAAGGCCGTTAATAATATATCAAACCAAGTTCGATATCAGACAGTGGTTCATGGTGACTTGCGTCCAGCCCTTGACCATATGGATGTACAGGTACTCCACATTGTTTTTTTTCAGTGAATTGAATTTTTATGTGAAACTTCTGTTGACTCATTTATAATAATTTCGCCCGATATAATAGTTGTGCTGTTTTAATGGGCATTTCTCAGGGTTCTGTTCTTGGCCTCGTTCATTTTCTCATTCGTATAGATGAAATTAGGATTTGCATCAATGATATATGGATGTAGTCATTCTGGCTTTTATGTCATAATTCATTCGAATTTTGATAAATTCTCGTTCATGTTTAGTGATTTTACTTATATGGAACAGTGCCATCCTCACTATAGACATTACTGGTAGACAATTACTTTATTGAACTTAATTGCTTCCTTTCTTTGGAAAATTCCCCCATTTTTATGTATCAAGATGAAGAAGTAGAAAACTAAAACCCTTCTTTTGCAAAAAATTAATCTCTGAAAAATATACCCCTTTCAATTATACAGTATGTGTTAACAAACTAGTTTGAATATTAGGAATCAGTTTGGGCTGAACTCAACCTACTTGTGAGAAAAAATAACTCAGTATAATAACATGAGGTTTAAATTTTCAGAGACAGTTATTTGCGATTCAGTAGCCAAATATTCAACTTGAAAAATTTTCACGAATCTTTGCATTTGACGAATTATGCAATCCAATGCAAATACACAAATGGCTCCGAACGGGACAAAGCACTGCCAGATGATAACATGTGGGACTGCCATACTTTCAAGGCCTACCTCAAACAAAATGGCTGCATGGATAAGTGGAATGAGGTTATTTACCCAGGTGAGACATAATCTTAATGAAATATGACGAAAAGCATAAGTTCACATACGTTACCTCAAGGGTTACATCGACATTTCAGGTATGCAGCAGAGTATAATATGTACGATGCTCTCAAGTCAAGACACAATGGATCGTCGCATGAACACATTCGAGATTTACGGAGCTGACTTCATGCTATCGGAAGATTTTAGACCTTGGTTGTTGGAAATTAACTGTAGCCCCGATTTATCTTTCTCGACCAGCGTTACAAGTAGGCTATGTGCACAGTGCATGGAAGACGTCATAAAAGGTAGGTAAATTTGTAACTACTGATGGAGGGGAGTAAATCAATCCTATGCACTGCGCCGCTTATTATATTTTCTTAGTTTTTGCTGCATACTGATCGTTTTGTTTTATGTTTATGTAAAGGCATTTGTAGATCCCCGTATATGAAACTATAATGTATGTTCATGAAATAATTGCGATCAATATGATTTCGTATTCTGTAAGGGATACCGATAATTGGTAAATTTTTCACAAAAAATAATGAAAGTATCATATAGAAATGAGAAATGTAGGCTTCCATAGCTGGGGTCAATGTTTCNTATATATACATAAGGCTATTCAATTCAAGTGTTAGAACAATAGGTACATTTTTGATTATCATCAATTTTTTGTTGTATGTGAGATATGACTTCTTGGTTGATGTCTCTGCATCTATGGAATTACGAAAACACTATTGATATTCGAATAAAATATTGTTTTTCAAAAGTGTTCACACGATCCAAATTTAATAAATTCTCCAGATACTTTTTGAAAGAATGGATGCACAGATTCTAATTTTAATGGTTTTTGAACCATTTTTGCTACTCGTGTGGTTTTCATTTTAACCGGTATATAAAGCGCTTTACAAAGATTCAAAGATCAAACATTTTACCATAGAAATAATTCCAGATTTGAAAACTTGAATGAACCATAATTTTTTCATGAAAATCTTGTTTAGTTCTGGAAGATTCCAAAGGGTCATTCAATCAAGAAATGGAAGACTATGGTAGACTCTATGTCTTCCATTTACTATTTTACTTACTAAAGCCATTCATGAAACCTTGAAGAAAATCTCAACTTTAGGCATCATCTATGATTATATTCACATAGCTATAAAAAATTGAAATTTTATTTGGATCATTTTCCAGTTGTGATTGACAGACGTAGAGACCCAAATGCGGACACAGGTCTCTTCGAAATGGTCTACAAGCAAAACTTCCCCAGAACACCACCTTACTTGGGGATGAATCTCTCCATCAGGGGGCGCCGTATATTCAGAAACAGAAGCAGGGTAAAGTCAGAATCCGATAAAGCAGATCGAGAAAAAGCCCTTAGGAGACTAAGGCGCAATGATTTCATCAAGAAAGAATTCATGAAGGACAGCGAAATAAAGAACATCCTCCCGAAAATCATTCCCAAGGAGAATTACAAAGGACCCGTCATTGCGGACTTCATCGAGGACCTCAAATCTTTGAACGACGGTAAAGATAGTGGCGTGGACTTCATTCCAGCAATCAAGTCAGAAGGGCACAAGAAGAAATACGAAGCTAAATCTGAGAGGGTATCAAGGTCTTGTTCATCCAAATTTAAAACTAGGAGTAATTCTGTTTCTTACTCTGCTTTCAGAAAGCGAAACGCAAGAGAAAATAGCAGAATGACCAGCAGGTCCAGTAGCAGTAGTTGTTTTGGCGTTAGCAAAGAATTGAAAATGTCTTGTAATGGTTCCAGTAGTTTTAACGACGTTTGGAAAGAAGGGACTGCCAGTATACTTAGGGGAACCAATATTTTGAATAAGGGTTCTGATACCACTTACGGAACTGATGTCAATAAAAATATTTTCCTCAGCAAGAATCTGAATGCCTTCGATTTGAATAGTATACTTAGAAGTTTTGAAAAATGAAGTAATATATGAAATGCAAGATAGTAAACTGTGTTATTTTTTGAAACCATTACATTTATATTAATTTAAATTTTGGGGAAGCTACTGCTCTGCTAGACGAATATTAGTTTTGTATCTGTAGAGTAGGGAGGGTAAGTGTAGGCCCACAGCACTCAGGCCAAATGTGACCTATTGTACATCTTCCCGAAGAGTTGTCCTCCAAGGTCATCGTCCATCTTATCCTTTGCAAGAAGGTGGACAGGTCACTAGGAGATATCTCCTTTATATCGGCAGGTATAGCCCAAGATTCGCCGAACACACACTCTCTTATTGACGATAACTCCGGACACTCACATAAGACATGCCTGACAGTTTCATCTTCCTGTTCACACATCCTGCATAGAGGAATTATAAAATATGGCGCAGTTAGTAGGATATAATCACGAAGATGCGTTATACTTTCAGACTGTTGTTAGAATGTTGTATGTGATCAAGAAAAATATCAACAAAACCCAACCCTGAATACTGATCATATTTATACAAGGTGATATACAGGGCGGAAACAAGGTACAATGATTAAAATATATCTTTTGCTTCATAATGAGTAGCAAGAATATCCATACTGTTAAATTTTGAAGAAGACAAAGTGATTGTTCAGAAATGTCAACAACTATTCCGAAAACCTAATTCCACTTTTCATTGAATTCGGTCAACGTAATTCATTGATATTAAATTTATTGTCATGAAATTGAATTATCAAGTAATATAATTACCGAAAAACAAAAAGTAAATATGACTCGCAATGATAATATTCATTGAACCCAAGTTTTATATCGGCAGAAAAATTGATTTCCGTTACCTCACCCTGAAGAGCAGGTAAGAGATCAGCTTCCAGTTAATGTTCTTGACACCACCTCTGCTTATATCACAATATATAAAATTGATTAGAAAGTTAATGGTGTTCAATTAGAATATTTCATAAGGTGAATTGTTCTGTTTGGTTTCTGGGATCAACAAACAAATTATGCCTGCCTGCCCTTAGCAGACACAATGAGTCAAGGACGACAGCCTTCCGATTTTTTTTGTCAAAATTTTTGCCATATAAAGGCAAGCCTAAAATTCGAGAATAGAAAAGAATTTCAACAGTCAGAACGAACCTTGAAACAGGGTGGTATGAAAATAATCGATATTTCCATCGTTTTTCCTCCTATTCTCAAAGAATATTCCTGTCAGTCGTTACTGAAAACTTCACGACAAGTATCGTCTTACTTTGATGGCGGAGAGAATGGGAAATAAGTAGTCCCAATTACTATTATTATTTGTCTCTTTCTGAACTAACATTGCTTTTAAGGTTTGACTTAGTGTTACCAAAACTAGACATGTCTTCTATATTGAAACATTCTTTGATATTTTCTCCGTGTGAAATCAAATTTATTTTCAACAATTTACTCGCATTTCTGCAATAAATGAACTTTATAGTTCGGTCATTATACAATATTGATTTAACGATAATTGCGACAGAGCTAAATTTTGGTGAAGACCTTTATTTTACCATGAAAAATAAAAAGCAAGAAAGGTTGTAGTGCCAAATACGGCTGTAGAAAAGTAGGGTTACAGTGTTCACCTGCGTGTACCAATTGCCAAAGCCAAATGTTGAGTTGAGTACAACAGAGGATGATTCATGTTATGCTGATGAAGAGACAACTGTTACATCATTATTTGAACAATTTATGAACATCCGACAGGTGAAGAAGAGGAAGAAGACGAAGAAGAAATTGCAGAAGACATGATTGTTGAAGTTAACTATGACGGGTATGAATCAGATTACAGTATCAAAAGAAATCAAACTGACAATTACACTCCATAAACATTATTAACCCGAATAATCTTCATACAGTTGAATAAGTATTGTGACTAAAAATTACGTAATAACGACTCGTGGAATAGGCCTTCTGGGAAAACCACGTTAAAAAAACGCGCCGAGTACACTACCTCATAGGTGGTGTGGAAACGTGTGCATATTGCACAGAACGTGACTTTTACAATTACGATATCTTAGAAACGGTGATACTTACAGAAAAAATCATAAGGACCATTTTTGTAGAGAATTTTGAGATCCACAACTTTGGCCTGTAGTATTTTTTTGATAAAACTTACGGTTTTCGAGAAAAACTCAAAAAACCTGAAATTTTGACCTTTGACCCCGAATAACTTCTGAAGCGCTCATGGGACAAATTAGGACTTTAATTTTTTATGGTAAAATGAAGGTCTTCACCAAACTTTAGCTCTGTCGCAATTTTCGTTATCTCATTACGGTTTTCAGGTCTAAATAGACCGGACTATTGTCTGTTGCTATATAGGTTTAGCTGAAAGTTGATCGATCAACATGAAAACTCAAACAAATGCTGAAATCTTTTATTTCCATGAGTATATTTAACATTAGAATTATCTAAAACTTATATATCTAATCAAATATCGGAAGAAATAACATCAAGATGTCACTATAATTAGTATATAGGTTATACAGGGTACATTTTGGAAAACCATGAAATGAAAATATATTCAAATCTGGAATTATTGTGGTTGATATCAGTACAAAAAAAGAAAATTCGCGACAATACGGTAACAAGAAGAGATACCTGAATAAATACATTTTTTTATAGACATATTTCATAAATTATCCTAATTCACAAACGAGTTTCATATCTTATCAGACATATATATTTTCACCTGAAATAGATTATTTGGGATATTTCAGAATTTCAAAGATCGATACAGATATTGACAATAAACTGAGATTGAAACAAAAGATGGTCAATGTACAATAAAGGTACCTCCTCTTTTACTGAAAATTTGCTGTCAACACTGATATTTGTCACAAATTATTACACTCAGTTGGAAGATGTAAAATAAACTCTCTGTTTATATTTGGTATCTAAACATCAATTATTCTTATTAATTTTCATGCAGCAGGCACTGATTCATGTGAAATACTCTAATGAAGTGTAAGGCTGCTATCTAACGATTTTCAAAAAGTGATATCAAGTTTAAGGTATTAGATGAGGAAAATAAACCGAATACATTGCGTTTCAAGGAAAAATGCAACGTCTTCGTCAAGCTTGGGAAGATTTGCTGGAACAAAAACATTGGTATTGAAAATTTGAGATCAATTACATATAATATGGCGCAGTAGGTAGGATACAACCTCGACAAAATTTTATGTTGTTCCTCATATCTGTATTGAAGACTTCTGTTTGACAACCAAAGACGTGGTGGGAACGCAAAATTCGAAACATCACCTTGAAAACATTCAGAAAGCAGCATACACTAAAGTGTATGTACAAAAACGTGCAAGATGATTTGTTATGAAATAAATTGAAACTACCTCTCTCATATTTTTGAAGAATATACATTATACTTTTAGAATGTCACATCATATCAAAAAAAAATATCAACCAAATGCAAACTTGAATTCCAAACATATTTACACAGGGCTGATTGAGCCGTTACAAATTTAGTTCATATACAGCGTAGAAAACAAGTTACAAGTTGTCTGAGGATTGGGAGACAAGAAAAATGAATTATACTTCATTTTAAATTTGAAAAGGAACTAAGTAACTGTTCTGGAATGTCAACAACTAACTCGAAAATTTTTTTGAAAAACTTGTCTTCAAATAAATTGGTGTTACTTTTTCTAACTGTACGCACCTAAATTAGAGCAATGCCATGCATTGATATTAAAATTATTATCACAAAATTGAATCATCAACATATACAGAGTTATATCTTATTTTATAATTTACTTTACACCGATTAAGAACGAAGAACAATCAATATACACGCCATATACTATCACATATTACATATGAATAGGCAAATAATGTGCAGAACTACATTTGAAAATTTTCACTGCTAACTACAATTGTGCCATTTTATCACCAGTTTCTTTATGACGAATAACTTTTTCAAAATCAAACGGTTAATTAGTAAATAATGAATGACGCAAGAATTATCATTGGAGGGGGAAGCATAACAATACAAAAAAAAATAACAATAGTTTTTCGTGCAACTTTCTTACAAAAGTCACTTAAGGGCTATATGCTATCAAAAACAAAAGAAACACTTGATTTGGGGTGATTTTGTAGTATGCTTCAAGTAGTAATTTCAACCAACTCATTTTTACATCAAAATTGAAATTCCAAAAGATTAACCACGCGCAAATTCATATACTGCCGTACCTAATAATAGATACATCATAATAATACAGACAATAGAACCCATGCAACCTGAGTCAGATATTTTTCATCGACCTTCCACAATCTGAAAAAATATAAAAATTGTAATGGAGAATAAGTGTAGATGTGGGTACCTGATAGTTTTTGACATCTGTCAAAGAAGTTAAGGAATAAATAATCAAAAAGGAATAACTGCAAATATCTTAGAATATTTTTGTCCATTTTTGAAGACGGAGGCAGATTTTGGCCTCCGAAACGTAAATATAAGTAATGTATTATTTCTTTGCCATTTTTTTTGATAGTCAATATTGTTAAATACGACAAGTTATTGATAAATAGAACATTTTTCTTTGTGAAAAATACTTTTATTTTACTCAGTAACTACTTGTATAAGTTCTCCATTATGATTTTTATATTTTTTCAGATTGTGGAAGGTAACAAATACCCAAAAAAAAGGTCGATGAAAAATATCTGACTCATGTTGCATGGGTTTTATTGTCTGATTTTCCTCTACAAAAAAATGACTTTCGTTGAATATTCAAGAGTCAGATATTTGGAAGTTTAAAGAATGGTTAATTCAATAAATTCAACAAGGAAATTCGCCCAATAAGTGAAAGAAGCCAATATAGTCAATAGAGATCACCAGTGTCATTTCATGTAATTTCAATTTACCTGTTATGATTATCATAACTTCACACAGAGTGATTTACAACTTGCGCCAAGTTATGCTAACATAGTTTTAAAGTTGAATAAAAAAATAGGGGCTTTTTTCGGAATATCTCGAAAACTTTAGCAGATTCTCGGAATTTGAAGA